TGACTCATTGGTAAACAGGTAACCCTACCTTATTGAAAAGAACTTCCAAACTAAAGATGCAACATGTCACCTTTATAGCTATATAGAGATATACATGTTCATATATAGGTAGTCCACAACTGAGCCCAAAATTTCCATTGCTAAGTGAGACAGTTATGTGAGTTTTGTCCCATTTTACAAACTTTCTTGTCACAATTGTTAAGTAAACATCTACAGTTGTTAAGTTAGTAACACAGTTGTTAGTGAATCTGGGTTTCCCATTGACTTTGCTGGTCAGAAGGTTGAAAAAAGTGATCACATGACTTTTGAAACATGGCCACCATCATAAATATATCAATAGACTTAGATTTATGTACTGCTTTACAAGCTTTACAGCCCTTTCTAAGAGGTTTTAAGAGTCAGCCAGTGGTGGGATTCAAATTTTTTTTACTACCAGTTCTTTGGGCATGGCTTGATGGACGGGGCAGGGGAAGGAGACTGTAAAATCTCCAGTCAAAGTTGGTATTTGTAGGTTCTCCAAACTACTCAAAATTTCCACTACCGGTTCTCCAGAACTGGTCAGAACCTGCTGAATACCACTTCTGGAGTCAGCATCTTTGCCCCCAACAATCTGGGTCCTCATTTTACCAACCTTGGAAGGATGGAAGGCTGAGTCAACCCTGAGCCTGGTGAGATTTGAACTGCCAAATTGCAGTCAGCTGGCTGTCAGCAGAAGTAGCCTGCAGTACTGCACTCTCACCATGGCTCACTGGTTGCTGAGCATCTAATTTCTGACCATGTGACCATGAGGATGTTACAACGGTTGTAAGTGTAAAAAATGGTCATAAGTCACTTTTTTCAGTGCTGTTGTAACTTCAAACAGTCACTAAACAAATGATTGTAAGTCGAGAACTATCTTTATGCATGTTTATGTAAATATGTCTGATATCCCTCCAAAGAAAAACACATGTTTGTTGGGAGGATGGATTTGAAAATATTTTCTTCATCACTTTCAGCCTGTTTCCTCACCCCTCCAAATTCAGGGGGAGGGGGATTCAGAATCCAACATTGGTCACAGAGAACCCCAAGATTTCCACACCTCTCCCACAAGTTTGCATTTTACCTTCCTTTTCTAGACTTGTCAGACAAAAAAAGTCCACGCAATAAAAATACAGTTTATTAAACCACCACTGTCCTGCATTAACCAAACACATTTTAATGAATCCCCAAACACATTTTCCATTCACATTCTTAGATTAGTTCCTCCCCTTCTTTTCTCTCTTTCATGCAATACCAGGCATGTTTCTAAAGCACACAAAAAAAATTGGCCTTTGATTAGTAACCCTAAGTGCAATAATAATAATAATAATAATAATAATAATAATAATAATAATGCACATAAAGAAAGACATTTAAATATCGCTGGATACTTCAGACTTGTTAAAGCTATTGGAAACTACTTGGCTGAATAATTTCTTAACCTGCCAGGTAGAAAGGTTATATATTAATTGTGTTAAACAATGAACTTTAAAATGCCCACTTTAAAATTGCACAAGGCAGCGTAATCGGCTGGAGAAGTTCTTTTAGAGTGGAATTTAGAAACTCGGGATATTTTATTACTTCTGCTCAGCTGTGATTGGACAATAGTGACATTACTAGGTTTCTAATAGGAGGCTTGGGAGGGACTGTTTTTGTTGTCAGGACATTAAACAAGAGCTTATCCAGTAGATGAAAGATGGCATATAGCTTGTTCTTTGTGAATCACAATAGTGTTCAAACCCCATCCTTGTTTATTCAAAAATAAGTCAACAGTCATTTGAGCTTTTCTCAACAGGATGTATAGCAGTCTGCACCATTAACACTCAGAATACTGCTGATTCTTTCATCAAGAATCAGCAGTGTGGACCTCATATTTTGATCATAGAATTAAGAATAGGCATATTATTTCCCACATCTACTTTTTATTGTTATGATAGCTCAATTAAATGTGTGATTATTCAGAAGCTTATCTAAGGAATTCAATGGGAATTATGCCCAGGAAAATGTACAGGTCTATAAGCTAAGTAGTTTACCTTAGACATTATTTCAGTGTATACTAGTAATATGTCTGACACAGGAAAATCTCAAAACTTGTGAAACTATGATGGAAGTGGAAGAATGCTGAAGGATTTTATGGCAGCAAAGGAATGGTAATTAACGTAACAGGTTAGCTGCTGAAATACTCTGAACTTTGTGTACATGCAAGTTGACGCTGCCTTAGTGACAACCAAATACATTTTAAAAGGTTTTTATACAAATCTAATCACTAAAATTTAATTCCATGCAATTCATAAAAGATAAGGTATACCTTCCAAATGTTGGAAGCTTTAGGAAACAATAAAAGGTCTTTCTATTTCTAACTGAAATAGTTATTTTCTCTCTCTCTCTCTCTCTCTCTCTCTTTTATTCCAATATTTCTTTCCTAAGAATTCAGTATAATCCAGTGTAACTTTCACTTCTAAGCATTAAGAAATAAAACAAAAAAATTTTTTTAACTGAAGCACATGCTAAACCTTGGAAACAATGAGGTCTTTCTTGTATACTTTAATCAAACACATGGCAGCAAGAGGCTTCAGTTAAAGCTTTACTTTTTCTGTCTATCAACCAATAACAGCAAATAATCTATATCAATACAACAATTGTAGTAAGAGGTGTCATTTTAAGGATGATATAATTGCTAGACAAATAGACAGACAGTAAATGAATGGTACTTTAAAACAGATAATCTGCTTTCCAAAGAACAGTGTGCAACCAGGGTAATTCTCATCACAGCACCTCTATTTCATACTGTTCTTTGTATGCTCACTTTAATGAAAGTTTGCACCGATTGTCATTTGTTCTGTAGAAACCTACAGAACTCCAGAAACCTTGACAGATGGTGTTTTGAAGGATGTTGCCAGGTAGCTGGTGTGAATCCCACATTAGCATTCTCTCTGGCTTTCAGAGGCAGCTCACCTTAGTCTCTTTTTAATATTCACATATGCTCACCTACAGCTACACTCAGGGAGGCAAAAAATAGTATGGCATTAGTTTATTAAGGCTTCTAATTAATTCAGAGTGAAACTCTAGCCTTTAAGAGGAAAGTCACATGCAAGCTTATTTTATTTCTAGCTTTGAATTACTTGTATATTTTAATTCCCTTTCATTTTTTACTGTCCCCCCACTACACTTGTGACATTCACATTGTGTCTCAGTAGATACTTCCCCCTGCTGGGAAAGGTTCAAATTACATCTACAAAGTATTGGAGGGAAACAAACACATTTTATTGATTGCAGGGCTCTAAAAGAAAAACCCGCTATAAAGGCACACCTTGGTAAATCTGACTCCTATACATGTATAATTGAAGAAGACCTGAAGATCTGTGAGTGAACATAATGTGCTTAATGACAGTCAAATTATATCTTTAAGGTAAAGGAATTGTAAAAAGCATCAACTGAAGCAATATATTTGCTTGTCCATATATTATCTTTTTTTTTTAAGTGAGTACCGTAGTTATTTTCATTTGAACATCTGATCATAGTTTTCCTGATGGTCAATATAATTGTGTGACTGTCTGAATTCCTTTCCAATAACAGGTGCTCAGAATTGCCTCAAATGATGAGTGGCAAATAAATTTAATAATAATAATATTAGGACACTGTTCCCAAAACAAAATAAATCATCATTCGTAATGTACAAGGAAAGGAAAGATAAGTAGATCATACAAACTTAGTAATATTGAACTCATGCTTAGGCAAAAAGTTCAAAGAAGATTTTTTAAATATTATTGGTTCTTTAATCTCTAATTTCAAAATAAAACTATATCATTATACAGAGTTTTAACTAGCAACCATCTGCTGAAATAATTCAGCAGATATTTCTGAAATGGATCTCCATTTTATAAATATATGAACAAGGGTAGAGTAAACCTAAGAATATAATAGTTGAAGTTAACAAATCCAAACAGCAGTAAAGTAAAATGAAAGTTTTGCAAAATAATAAACATAGTAACAACCTGTCTTTTCCCATATAAAACTGACCCAGGCAATGACTTTTGATTTGTTTTGTTTTTAAACCATGATTCTGATCTTTAATGAGGTTGTTGCCTTTGTCTTTGTGTAAATACATTTCTGTGGAAACTTCACCTGTCAACTCAAGTCTGACCCTGACCATAATGAAAAGGAAAAACCCATTATGAATGCAAAATGATTAAATAAATCCATAAGGAAAACAAAGTGATTATTATGGTGGCCATCCTGACATTCTTTAGTAAGTTGCAACATCACGTTTTGAAATGCAAAGCTTTTAATTCATTACCCAGCAGGATATATCTGCAAGTCGATCCAAAATCTTCAAAATACAACTGCAAGGCAACGTTCCCTTGAAAGCTATGCCTCTTGTTATCAGCACGGTTACATTTCACAGAATGCCTAATTGTTGCTGATCAATCTACAAAAGGAACGAGGGTTCTTCCAGGACTCTGCTATGGACACTAAATTCCCGGCTTATTGCACAGTGTTTCTCCGGAAATCTGTCAGCAGCTCTGCTTAGCCTTGTACTTGACAAAATGCTGCCAAAATCCAGCATCCCTCCCTGCTCAGGTTTCTGTTCTGGTGACCTTAGTGTTAGAACTAAAGAAGTGCGCTGATGCCACATAAAAGGCAGAACTCCCCGGGTCTTTTCCCTCCTGCACTTTCTGACTTACTGGTGCCCTGTAATTTCTAAAGCAATCAGTCCTTCCGTTTCAGCCGACTCTGCCTCTGCAACCTCTCTGCCTCTCTCCGAAAGAATGCCAGAGAAAGCGAGAGCTGCGCTCTCCTCCTCTCTTCCTAACGGGGACAGATCTGCCTGTTTCTATGCCCTGAACCCATCTCGGTGTAACCCGCACCGAATGGCAGAACGCAGCAGCGGTGGCAACAGGGAACCTCGGCAGGGGGAATGGCAACAAGCAATCCGCCAACAAAAATCCGCCAGACTCGAAGAGAGGAAAGCCAAGACTTACCTTCCGCCAAAAGGCGCATTGCATGAACAAAGGACGGATCTAAGCTATCCTTCTCAGCCATCAGCTCGGGTAAATATTTTTCTTGCTCCATGCTGGGTTCGCCTACACTTTGGACCGGCTGCCCGCCCAAGGTAGCGCGGGGAAAGGGAACTCGCTCACTAAAGGCTTTGTTGGCTTCGATTCGTCTCTTGCCCTTCTGTGCTTGTACTTGGGACGGGCTCACTTCCCCATGTGCGTGGTGGCGGTCGCGGGTGCGCTGCTGCTTCAGGACCTTGGACAGCGGGCCCCCCCACCACCACCGCCCCTCCGCCGCCTCCCTCTTCACTCGCTCCTTCGAAAAGCGCGTGTGTTGCTTCGCCCGTCTGGGTGCGCTTCCCCCCCCCTCCCACCCCGCACTGAGCTACGGTCTCTTACAGCACCAGAAGCCTTAACAAGGGAGGTTGGATGACCAAGACTTCCTCCCGCCTCCGTCGCCTTCTCATTGGGGAAGGCGAGAGGGAAGGCGGTGAGAGACAGGACGATACGGCCTCGGGATTGGGTTCTGCTCCCGCCCAGTCTTCTGACAGGCGTCTGAAAAGCCGCGGGCGCGACGAGATCTGTGACAGAGGAGCGAAAGGGGTGGGACAAGACAATCCACTCGCTGTCCGACGTACTGAAGTAGCGAGAAGGACGGGGCAACCTCGAGCCAACATCGGAAAGGACTGCGGGTTGAAGCCGGAGCTGAAATTCGGAAAGCTTCCCTTTTTAACCCGACTATCATTTGTCTGGATAACTCAGTTCTCGGCTAGATTAATCAGAAAAATCTCTAAACGTTTGGCTTGTATTCGGGTTTCACTGGTTGCAAAACCATCCAGTACCATGATTATATGGTGTGGCTTGATTAACAGAAACAGTCATAATCTCTGAAGCCCTTTTATTGTTCATGTTTATTTGTTTAGTTGGCACTGAACAACAGTTCTTCCTCCTTCCTCCGTTCTTTTGTTATGCCTATAAAAGGGAGAGAACTGCTTGTAAAGACCCTAAAAAGTGTCTAGGGGTTCCTTGTTACTGCTGTAATAAATCAATGGGTTGAATACTTCTTTTCCACATTAGTGTCTTAGCATCACTGGCTCTTAATCAAGTGAGTTTTAATTATCTATCTATTCTTTCTATCTATCCATCTATCTATCTATCATCTCAGATTGAACATACTGCTCTTAATGGAAGTTAGAAACCTACATCATTTCATCTAAATTTTGTCTTCAAACCACATAAAAGGAACTGGGTCAGATTTTGACATTTTACAAGGAAGACGAATCAGTGTCTTTATTTCATGATTATGGGAGAGAAATCGAAGTAATGGAAGAGAAGAAGCTCTTTATGGTATGATCTATTCCACTGATTCCATTCAATAAAGACCAGCACTTGGGATGTGTATGTGTGTGCAGTAGTCACTTCCTTACGATTCATACTGATGTGCTTCTATGCATTGTTAGGCCTGTCCAGCCAACAAGTACTACATTTAATCCAACTATGTCTCTTTAATATATCAGATTTCTTTTCAAGTCTCAGTCCCCTACCTCTCCCACCACACAAAATAAAACTAGAATATATGGCTAGGAACAGAGTAGAAAAATATGATTTTGCTTAAAAAGTACTAAATCAGAAATACTTGTTATTTTAATTAGAACTGTGTGGGTTTATGTGTGTTGTGTTATGTACATTTCCTTCAATATAATTTTAACAAAGTATTTTTAGCTACTTTGAGAGTATTGTCTTTTTCTTTTCATTTCCACCTTTTATGAAAGAAATATTAACCATTCCTAAATACAGCTTATTCAGCATATAACTGGTTTATATTTTCTTTTCCGTGTTTTTTTAGCCTCCAGGTATGATCAGAAATAGCAACTCCACCTATTTTTACAGTCAGAAAACTGAGTTTGGGACACAAAGATTTGCTCAGTCTTAGACTATCAGCTGCAATGTAATGCACCACTGAACTTTTGAGTATCATTTTTAACAGCTATTGATGCAGCAGAAGTGTTTGATTGCATTAACATACCATTCAAGTCTAAAGATTCACAATAATTTTGAATCAGAAATGGGTATAAGCTGTGGAAAAGGTACATTAATGTCTATACGGTATGTATTTATGTATTGTATATATATTTTCATCCAATCAATATAAGACATCAGGTGGGAATTTTAATCCTTTAGTCTGGGTTGTAGATTAAAATCCAATTGGCTTTAATTAATTTCAATGTTTTATTGATATTTTGTTTAATTTGTTTGTGTGTATTTTATTGCTTTACTTATCTCCCTGCATTGTACTTGTATGATTTTTATCTATTTAAAGCATCACCTCATGGACAGGACCAATGTAATATTGCTACATCCACACAGACTTTTTTTATCATATTATGATTAATCTCCAGAGATATGTATATAAAAAGAGCACCCACCAAAATTGAAGCATGACTTATAGCTGAGGTAAAAGCTAAGAACTTAGCACAAATTGAATTACAAATTGAAAACTGCAGTTCAGCTCTGGATATAGTGGTACATATTATGCTGTTGAATAAATTCTCATGGGATGGTTAGAAACCCTGGGATTGGTGGCAAATCATATATTCTCTGTCATGAAAAGAAACAACTTATCTGAAAGGACAGCTTTCAGTGGTCAGAAAATAAGGAATCAATTAAAGTTTTTTTAGCCTATCATTTTAACTGAAGGTTTCAATGATGATCTCTTTTGCAATTAAAAAACCTCATGGTTCAATACCATTCTGCTGCAAAACATAACTGCAATAACTAAAGCTATATGTATGCTTTTATTGATTCAGTCAATTCATGATTGAACTATGGAGCCCACAGGTGGTCCTGGAATCTAGCAGAAAATGTACTCAAAATACCAGAAAGAAATCTTTTCACAGGACCTGAAAAATTATAAAACAAAACTTCATTCAGCTCTTGCATACAAAGAAATGTCATGTCAGTCCTTTAATGAACATTTGTTGTTGTTGTTTTAGGAATTTTCTTTTAATCTCATGATAAATGAACTTTCGGTATTAAATTTGTTAATAATAATTTGTCCCATAAATACTCAAAACAATTATGCCCTGGGGTGAGTTCAGCACTGGAATTCTATTGCTGTAAAGTTACTACAATTATTAGTACAATATATAGTTCTTAAACTAGAAAAGCCATATGTAAGTTACTCTAGACCTAATTCTAAATTGGTTCCATTTTTTGCATTTTACTGGCTGCTTAGGAAAGGCACATCTTTTTCACAAATACATTTAAATGTTGTTTGATGATAATAAATAATTTTCTGAATATATAAAACAAACTTTTAAACATTTTTTAAGCTGTCAGGATCCAAAATCTGAATATAGCTCAGTTCTTAGGAGTTTTTTATATGTAAACCAGTAGACGGGAATAAATTGAGATTTTAAAAGTACCTATATAAACAGTATCAATATTATTAAAAGTTCTGATTTAGAGAGGTAATTGACTATATATAAGAAATAATAAGACACTAATAGAAAAAAGGAAAATAATAGGATTCTCGGTACTAATAAAAGACTAGAAAGCCATGGCAATGAACATATTAAAATGTAAGGAAAATACTAAAATTTATAAACAAATTGGTTTTTTTTGTGTTTTTTTGGTTTTTAAGACAAACATAGACAAACAAAACATAAAAACATCAAACCATTTTCCATATATATACATACAGTGTGCCGGTTGGTTTACAAATTGTTTTGTGCTTCCATTTTGTAGTCTTCAATTACAATTACATTGTATATATTCTCATATTTTCAATCAAGTATTAAATACATAAATATCATTGTTAATCAATCATTTGACTATACTTTTATTCATTCATGTTTTACAAAATAATCATATTTTACTTAAATTGTTTTGTGACAGTTCATATTATCATCTCAAATCTATCCTACAATCATTTTGTAGATGTAATAAGAAAAGAATACATCTTTATATATTTATTATTTTCTAAGAATCTACATATTTCATTACCATGTTTTATTTTCTGACCATTGATAGAATAGATCCCAGATTTTATAAAATTATTTATCATCTTGTTCTCTGATTTCAAATGTCAATCTACTCATTTCAGCACATTCCAATATTTTCTTAATGATTTCCTCCTGTGATGGTATTTTTTCATTTTTCCAATTTTTAGCAAATACAACCCAAGCCGCTGTTAATACATTTACAATCAGGTACTTCAATTCTTTACTATATATTTCAGGTAAAATTCCCAATAAAAATATCTCTGGTTTCAAATCTATATGTTTTTTGTGTCATTTTTTCCAAACACATGTGGATTTTAGTCCAATATTTTTTAGCATCCGTACAAGTCCACCACATATAGTAATACGAGCCAGGTGTCTGATGACATTTCCAACATTTTTCTGATTAGTTCTTGAACATTCTTGCTATTCTTGTCGAGGGAAAATGCCACCTGTAAAACATCTTATACAAATTTTCTTTATATGCTGTTGACATTGTCATTTTATAATTTTGAAACCACATTTTTTGCCATTTCTCTAGATCAATCCCATATCCAAAATTCTTCCCCCAAGCAATCATTGTTTCTTTAACTTGTTCTTCTTCTAGTTTAATTTCTAATAAATATCCATGCAATTGTTTAATCACCTTTTCATCAGTACCTGTCAAAATCTTATCTAAATCAGTCAGTTTATCATAGAAACCTTCTGTCTTAGACTCTTTATCATACCTTGAATGTATTTGCGCATATGAAAACCAATTCATCTTTATACCTTGTTCCTCTAATTTTTGTATAGATTTAAGTTCACCCTTTTCATTCAATATTTCACCATATCTAACTGTTTGTTCCTTTTTCTATATTATAGGATAAGAAAATGCTTCAATAGTTGATAGCCAGACTGGAATTTTCAAATAGCATTGTCTTTTAGTCTTCTCCCAGTTTAACCACAGAGACTCGTGTATTTAATTTCTTCTAAAATACCCCTGTGATTTAGTTCCTTTATACCATAGAAAAGCATGCCACCCCAACAACAGATCATGTCCTTTTAATATCAACAATTTAGTGTTTCTTAATGT